CCTGGAATTATCTCGAGATGTCCATCTCGATTCCACATAAACAACTTCTGATGAGCTGTAGAAGGCACAACTCCAACTCCATGAATCCACTCCCTACCAAGCAACGCATTAAAGTTGTCATGTGATTGGACTACTACAAATACAGCAGGCCTTGAATAAGTCCCCACTTTCACATCTAAAGCAATCATGATATTGTGTCTTACCAAGTCTTTTAATTCGATACCAAACCTCTTTAGCATAGTGATTGGCAATATGTTCACCGCTGCGCCACCGTCAACAAGGACTTTGTTCACCTTCTGTCCTTGAATTTCGATGTTCAATAGTAAATGTTTCAGATGAAACCTCATTTCTTCTGATGGGGGATCGATAAAAGCAGCATCTCTATGAGGTACTTCGCATGATGTTTGTGTTACCCATGTGACTTTCGGTCTCATGTCTTCAGAGTAGAAATCATCCTCTCGATCGACGTGCCCTTGATACTCCTCATACTCGCTAACATATTCCGCGGGTAATATCGATATTACCCCAATTTGATGTTCATCCCAACTACCTCCATTTTTGTTATCGACAAAGTCTCTTACATATTGACCCCCAATTGGTGCACTGCTTTCTTCAAAGTTTCTATAATTTTTTATCCTTCCCCAGTAAGGGATCCTTCCTCCTCTCCTCCAAGGTCTTCCTCGAAATCTCCTTTGAAATGTAGGAAATCCAATATTGGATCCCTCATCATATGAGAGTCTATCGAAAACATCATTATTTTGAAGTCTGTCTCTTCCTCCTTGAGGAGAATATATTTCTTTTCTAACCCATTGTTTCTGATTTTTGCTAACACCCGAACCCACAGATTTCTGCTGACTTTCCTCCACCGTGGATTGGATGGTTTGATCTACTTTATCATTGCAGCTTTTATGTTGACTCTCCATTTTCTTGATCTGTCCTGCCCTGAAGGCCTTAGCAGCTGATTTGTCGAACACCGCACTGCATCGTGGACATAATGTCACCTCTTCATCCTTCTCTTTCTTTCTATTCAAAAACTCGACGAGGGAATCTTCTGATCGAGGATAGATCTCTCTTTCGAATTCTTTCTCGAACTCACTTAAGTCGAACTCTATGTCTTCTTCTGACATATCCATTCTGACATGTTTGGGATCAATGTCTTCAGTAACATCGACCATACCTATAAATGTCGAATCCATTAATCGGACATCTTCATTCATGCCCGTTTGGGACTCGATATACCCTACTTGAACTTCGAATGGACTCGTATCCACTTTCATTGACATCTCCTCAAATTTCAGTCTTCCTTGGTCGATTACATCTTGAATCGTGTTCCTGAAATGTATACAATTATTAGTCCAATGTCCATAGATATTATGAAATTTGCAATATTTTCGACCATTTCTTTGTTCTGCAGAAGGTAATTTATGATCATCACTCAGCTTAATCTATTTATCTTTTAATAAAATATCAAAGATTTTATCTGCCTTTGTTACATCAAAAGTATACGTGCGATTTGCCATTTTATCTTTTACTTCATTTTTCTGTAGCAGTTTACAAATATATGGGGCTCCTACTTTGAGCTCTGCTATATTTACTTTTTCATCGACGGATTCTCTCATATCTCCTTCTATCTTGGGATTTTCCTCATATATGTCATTTATATACGTTGTCTTATCTTTCCTCAAAGGTTTCTCAAATTTCTTGTACCTTTGTTTCTCGTATTCGATTTGTTCCACTCTTCTCACCTTATCAACTAACTGAGCCATATCATTCAAAGGTAAATTAACTAACTTTTTTCTAATCGAGAATTCTAAGCCTGCGGAGGCCATTCTGACTAACTCAAATTCAGGAATTTGGGTAAAACATCTCGACTTCATTTGTCTAAATCTATTCAGATAATCATCTATGCTTTCGTGATTGTATCTCTTTACATTCATCAAATCGATAAGACTTACTTGGGTTTCTCCCCTAAAGAATTGTTCATGAAAGTTTCTTTCCAGCTGCATCCAATTGTGTATTGAATTTGGTGGCAGCGACGTAAACCAAGTGAAAACATTTTTTGTTAATGAACTAGGAAAATATTTCATTTTTAATTCTTCGCTCATCGCTAGGTCTCCACATTCGATTTGGTATCGTGCCACATGCTCGATAGTGGATTCGCCAATTTCTCCAGCAAACTTGGTAAATTTAGGTATCTTATATCCTCGAGGTAATTCTGTCTCAAGAATCGTATTTGGAAAAGGAGAAACAAAGTATTGTTGATGAGGTGGTCTTAATTCCATTCCCTGAGGATTCATTCTTTGTCCCATCAGGTGATTGTACTGCATGTTATTTTGATTGTACATATTTTGACATCCCTTATTTAAATTTCCATAAGTATCATTCCTAACCTGCTGATATTGATCATTGTTTCGATTCCTCCTTAATAAATAAAGGGGATTGATATTAGCGTTTTGGTTCATATTCTGATTGGCATTACTTTCGACCCTTGTTTGTCAAGGTATCGCCAATGCATCTCCGATACGTGACATTTGGTCTGCTAATATCTCAAAACTAGTGGTGGTATTTTGAACTAATGGATTCAGTACTGTAGTCAACTGTTGTGATAACATGTTAACCATCTCGAAATTGCTTTCGTCCATTTGTTGTCGAAGTACTCCTAATGAGTTACTGGAAATTCCAGTACTAGTGTTTTCGATAGTCTCAAAATTGGATCGATGATAATCTCTATCGAGTATATATCTCCCGTGATCCGGGTTTGCTCTATGATCTAGGTTTGACCCCGGAGGCGTTTGTTGTGTTCCTAAATTCTGCACATTCCCTGAATTCTGGGGAGTTACTAAATTTTGAGACACTCCTAAATTTGGAGATACTCCAAAATTTTGAGGCATGCCTAAGGTTTGAAATGTACCTAAGTTTTGGGTCATTTCTAGGTTAAATCTCGTACTTCGTTGTATTGAAGAAGTACCAGCCTCATTCATATTATTAATCGCAAAGTCAGGCGGTCTTACACTCATATGTGGTCCTGCATATGTTGTTACGGGATTCCCTGTAGTTTGTATATTTGACATTACAGTGCTAGACCCTAACTGAGTGTTTACCGATGTGCCTGAGCTTTGTTCAGCACTCACAGGTATCGACGTATTCTCATTTGTCGATATTACGGACATATTCCATTGTGAACTTGCCCCCTAGTATTTGGCAAATGTGAATTATTTGGAATCTCATTGTTATTCTGGTTATGTGGTGTATTTTGACTCATTCTTAATACTCGCCCACTCCTTAATCTCATACACTTTCGAACTAACCAATTATTTGTGTTTTTCGACACAACCCCCCTACCTGGCGTGCCAATTTGTTTCTGGTGAAAATTTGATTGATTTCGATTTATCGGGAGTTAAGTTCTAATCAAATCTCAACCATGTAGATTCTTTTTATTTAGGCTAGCAACTAGTTTTCAATCGAAAAATGCATGAGAATCGAGAATCTTATAATGTAAAACGGCATGACCTAGAGTACATATTTTTGATGTTTTTCTTAAGAAATGCGAAGTAAAAGAAACGTTGAATCGAAAAGCAGTGCGGAATATTAAATTGCAGGGAAATGTAAAAAACGGAAACCTCAAATTTGCATTAAGTGTAAATAGCGAGAAATCGAAATTGCAGGAATGTAAATAACAGGAAATCGAAATTGCAGAAATGTAAATAACAGGAAATCGAAATTGCATAAATGTAAATAACAGGAAATCGAAATTGCATAGGTATAAATAGCGAAGAACTTAAACGCAGAATCTCAACTAACATAAAAGTAAAATAACAAGGAATTGAAAGTGCAGAAACTTAAAGTTGTTAAACGTAAACTTGCATCAAATTAAATTGCATGAACATAAATTACCAGGGAAAGTGAAGAAAGTGATACAGACAATCAATGAAAATGGAAACCTAGATCGCCAGAAACTTCATGATTCGTCGTTCTCCGGTAGACTTTCTCACTTTTGTTTCTGTTGTCTCTGCCAATTTCCCCCTCTTTTTCAAGTCTTCGCTCTATTTATAGAGCATCCTTCAAGTAACCTCTTAAGAGTGATTAATAAAACTGTCACCACGATCCTACGTGCACGTCCCTTAGTATTACAGTTTAAAAACTGCATTCCACGTTCTCACGCATAAGAGAACTGCTCCCTTGATCTTCGATCTGAGCTACGGTTTAGGAACCGTTTCCCATGTTCCATGTGTGTGTTAACCGCTCCCTCGATCTCGATTTCAGACATCGAGTATTTTGAATTTTGCTTTTGATTCCCTTTAATTCTTAACTTTGCACTATTCTAATTTCTCGATTCTCTTCAACAATAGACATCGAAATTTGTTTCTTCGATTCTCGATTTTGATTTTCAATGTGTTTTTATCTTTGTGGTCACCAGTGTCTTTTACCAGTCTTATCATTTTTTAACTAACTATATGCTTTTTCGATTTTCTCTCTCTAGTTCTTTCGATCCCGATATCGATTTTTCTTTTACTAACAATATAAAGATTATAAAACTTAAAGAGTGTAAAAAAAAACTTTATATAAATCATTCTAACATATTAACATTAATATGTTATCACAGAGAATGAGTTCAAAATATTTAAACTTAATATTTTATACTTTTACAAGAAAATAATATATTATAGCTAATAAATTATGATTTTTTTTAGAATATATCTATAATTTCATCTAGAGTTTCATAAAATTTGAGGACCATGCTAATTTTCATTCTACCAAGATCTTTCGCCATTAATTTATCACTGGTAAGCTTTTTATTTTTTTTTTACTGAATTGAAAAACAGAATTGCATTCTAAACTCCACAAACAAGAAGGTTGCATCCATCACTGCTCAAAAGGGTACAAATTCGTCACTGGAGAGTGGATTCTCTTTCAAAAACTGCACAATAACTGGCAGTGGACAGGTTTATCTTGGAAGAGCATGGGGAGATTATTCCAGAGTTGTTTTCTCTTACACCTACATGGACAACATAGTTCTCCCCAAAGGATGGAGTGATTGGGGTGACCAAAAGCGTGACTCGTTAGTTCAATGCACCACACTTGGAGCTCTACATTTCCACTGTACCAACCAATTACAAAGTACTCAAGCATATGGGTTAATTGTGTGTTTGTGTATGTTGCAGGAGGGTATATTATGGAGAATACATGTGTAGTGGACCAGGAGCTAACTTGGCTGGAAGAGTGCCATGGGCACGGGTGCTTACGGATGAAGAGGCCAAGCCTTTCATTGGGACCCAGTTCATTGAAGGGGACACTTGGCTCATTAGTCCCTAAATAACCAACCTTGGTGATAATGTATCAGCATTCAGACTTCAAAATTATGTTATAAGTTTAATATGTATTTATGAATCGAAACCCTATTTCTGAATTTTCAGAATTCATCAATGCTTGATAATTTACAAATAATCCTTTGTTTCCATTGCTCTGATTAAAAGCACTGCATGAGAAAAATAAGAGCACTACATTCATTCTTGCATCTATGTTACACCACTAAGTCTAGTTGCACAAATGTGTTCCTTAAATGGGAATATAAATAAAAGGACTACACTGTTTAAGAACTGTTATGTTGGAAAGAGGAATGATGTGAGCACAATTAATGAATTCCACGCATGCGCAACGCTAATTAAACCAGCTTTATGCCTATCAAAGTACGGAAAAAGAAATATGGAATTTTATCTTCAAAGCTTGTGAGAATGGAATGACAACATGATGGAGCAGGATAAGACAGGGAACAGAATTTTAAGGCCAAATGCAACACTCGGCTATTTTCCAGGGTTTGGTCTCCTCGTTGTGATCATGGAAGAAACTCCAGAAGTGTTCAAGGTTGTCCAAGCTGGTCGATGCTTTCCCTGGTTTCTTTCCCTTAATAATATATGTCGAGTCTTTTGTTTCTTTGTCCCGCCAACATGGACTCTCTGGCTGAAGTTCATGGTGACAACATCGTAGTAACGCTTTTAGTAATAGCAAAATTGAAGCCATATTATAGTGGACTTGATCAGAGATTGGACATATGTATTTTTCAAGGTTTTGCTAAAATATATTAGAAATATAAGATATGTATATTAAGTTCTTCCCTTCGCCCTTTTATATGTAATTAATATTAAGATTTGGATGAAAAATAAATCTGGATTCCTTATGAAGTTAAGGAATCATATATATCACGTTAAGCCAGGTCGGTTCTTCCATTTTCTTACCAAATTATGACAATTAATGTAAAATCTAATGGTGGATTTGACTCCAAACCAGGAACTCATACAAAAATTGTTAGTTGATTCGTGATTGGTGAATAAAAATGGAAAATTCAAAAGTAGTTTATACATTGTTAGTTAAAGTCTTAAGAAATGCTTTGAACAACATGGGCGAGTTCTTGTAAAGAGTTGGCCATCAAACCTTTCAGGCACGTCGTAGAGTATTGAAATATAATAAACTATGGGCGAGTTCCTTGCATGACCATGGTCAACCACCCCCGATAACTTCTAACTAACACTTGTGTACTTGGCTTGTGATTAATGGCATAGAGAAAGAATTTCTTTATCTCACAACTTTAAAAAATATTTTATATCATTAAAAAATGGATATTGTAACAGACGAAGGAAAATAAATGATGATTGCCTTCATCCCAACGAGTGAAACGGGTTTATTATATAAATCCCTGATCTGTAGGGATATTTCCTATTTTGTAGGCATAACGTGTGCAGTCTGTTATGCATTATTTGTTTTGTTTTAGCTATATAATAGCCTGAGTTTAATGAAATATGCATCGAGTTCCTGCACCAATATATTCTATATTCTATTTACTTACAAATTGGTATCAGAGCTCTTACAAACTGGTATCAGAGCTCTACGAGGCCTGATACACAAGTTGTAGCTTTTGTGAGAACGTGTGAGAACGATAAGATCTAACCATGCAAAGTGAAAAATTCTCCACCAAAATTCCCCACTTTGATGGTCAGCACTATGACCATTGGAGTGAATTAATGGAGAATCTCCTACGTGCCAAGGGGCTTTGGGATATTGTCAAATTTGGTGTTGAAAAACCAGATGAGAGTGTTGATCTAACTAACGAACAGTTGGAACAATTGGAGAACGCTAGGCTCGATGATCATAAGGTAAAGCATTACCTTTTTCGAGCTATTGACCGGACTGTCTTTGAGCAAATTTTAGACAGAAGCACGTCGAAGATTGTGTGGGATTCTTTAAAGCGCAAGTTTGGAGGTAATGCACGAGTTAAGAAATCCTTGCTCAACGCATTAAGACGGGAGTTTGAGGTGCTTGAAATGATTGACACCGAAACCATCACAGAATACTTTGTTCGGGTAATGACAGTGGCAAATAAGATGCGTAGCAACGGTGAAACTATGCCTGACTCCAAGGTGGTTGAAAAAATACTCTGCACTTTGACAGATCGTTTCACTTATGTAGTAGTTTCTATTGAAGAATCACACGACACAGAGACCATGTCTGTTGATGAACTACAAAGCACTTTGGTGGTTCATGAGCAAAAATTCAGAAGAATGAACCAACATGACGAGCAGGTACTAACATCAGAAAACAGTCGCAATGGAGGACGAGGCAGAGGGAGAGTGCCCAACCGAGGTCGTGGACGTGGTAGAGGAAGACAAGCTTTCTCTAAGGCCACTGTGGAGTGTTTCAAGTGCCACAAATTGGGTCATTTCCAATATGAATTCCCCCAATGGAACAAGGAAGCAAATTATGCCGAACTAGGTGACACTAAAGAGTTGGTCCTGATGGCCACCATCGATGAGAAAATCAACAAGGAGGTTGCATGGTTCTTGGATTCCGGGTGTTCGAATCACATGTGTGGTGATAAGAATGCTTTCATGGAATTGGTTAATGAAGCCAAGCATTTTGTCAAATGTGGCAATGACTCTCGAATGACAGTTGTTGGCACAGGAAGTGTTAGATTAACTTTTAATGGTACTGCTTTTTTGATACGAAATGTCTACTATGTCCCTGAACTTCACAAAAATTTGTTAAGTATTGGGCAGCTGCAGGAACGAGGACTTTCCATTCTCATACAAAATGGAAAATGTAGTATTTATCACCAATCCAAAGGTCTGATTGTTCAAACAACCATGACCTCAAATCGCATGTTCATTCTATTTGATGAAGGTTGCACCACACCATCTTCCATTGATGATTGCCTGCATACTACTGCTGATACCACTAACATCTGGCATCAAAGGTTTGGACATCTACACTACAAAGGCTTGAAGACCCTACAAACACATAATATGGTGCTTGGTCTACCCACACTTGACTCCACGGGTATTGTATGTTCTGATTGTTTCACTGGCAAACAACATCGCACTCCGATTCCTAAAACAAACAAATGGCATGCAAGCACCATCTTAGAGCTCATACATGCAGACATCTGTGGACCCATAGAACCCATCTCTAACAGTGGAAAGAGGTATTTCTTCAGCCTTATTGATGACTATAGCCGTAAGGGTTGGGTGTATTTACTGTCTGAGAAATCTGAAGCTTTGGACTATTTCAAGTTATATAAAAACATGGTTGAAAAGGAGACGGGGGCGTTCATCAAGTGTCTCCGAACAGATAGAGGGGGGGAGTTTAATTCCCTTGCTTACAGATCATTTTGTGATGAAAATGGTATCAAACGGCAGCTTACCTCAGCGTACACGCCACAACAAAACAGAGTAGCGGAAAGCAAAAATAGAACCGTTATGAATATGGTACGATGTATGTTGTCCGCAAAGAGGGTTCCTAAAACTTTTTGGCCTGAAGCAGTTAATTGGGCATTCTATTTGCTGAATCGTTGCCCCACACATGCGGTAAAATATGTCACACCACAAGAAGCTTGGAGTGGGATCAAACCTTCTATCAAACACCTTCGGGTTTGGGGATGCCTAGCTCACGTTCACATACCAGATGCAAAACGAGGTAAACTTGATGATAAAAGTTTCCCTTGTATCATGCTAGGTGTTAGTGATGAATCCAAAGGTTACCGCTTATTTGATCCCAAAGTCAAAAGAATTGTGGTTAGCAAAGATGTCCTATTTGAAGAAGAAAAAGGATGGGATTGGGGCACAAATTATAAAGAACAACTTGAAACTGAATTGATGTGGAGTGATGATGAACTCCATAGTCACGACGGTGAACAACAACAACACAATGATGGAATTCAACTTGAAGACAACACACTTGAAGACAACACAGAACTTGAAGAAGTTGGTGAAACCAGTGCAGTTCCAAGAAGAGAGCGACTACAACCAACTTGGATGCAAGATTATGTCAGTGGCGCAGGTTTAAGTGAAGAAGAAGAAGGAGAAGAGGCAACCACCTACATGGTCCAAAATGTCATCAATGATGATCCGGTTCAGTTTGAAGAAGCAATCAAATATGAAAAATGGAGGAAAGCCATGGACAGTGAAATGCAATCAATTGAAAAGAATCACACTTGGGAGCTAACGGATCTACCGGTTGGAGCAAGAACAATTGGAGTGAAGTGGATTTACAAAACAAAGCTAAATGAAATGGGAGAAGTTGATAAATACAAAGCAAGGTTAGTAGTCAAAGGCTATTCACAACAATATGGAATTGATTTCTCTGAAGTATTTGCACCGGTTGCACGGATGGACACAGTAAGATTGATTGTGGCTCTTGCTGCATGCAAAGGGTGGGACATCTTTCAACTAGATGTTAAATCTGCCTTCTTGTATGGAGAGTTGAATGAAGAGGTTTATGTAGATCAACCAAAGGGATATGTGAAAAGGGGAAGGGAGCACATGGTTTACAAACTACACAAAGCTTTGTACGGTCTAAAACAAGCACCAAGAGCTTGGTTTAGCCGTATAGAAGCACACTTCTTGCAGAATGGCTTTCAAAAATGCCCGAATGAGCAAACCTTATTTATCAAAAAGGGCGTTGAGAAGAATTTTTTAATTGTCAGCATCTACGTTGATGACTTTATTTATACTAGTAATGATGTGAGTATGATGACTAATTTTAAGAAGTGTATGACACATGTTTTTGATATGACAGATTTAGGGAAGATGAGGTTTTTCCTTGGAATTGAAGTCTTACAAAAACCAGAAGGAATCTTTTTGTGCCAGCAAAAATATGCCAATGACATCCTGAAAAGGTTTGCAATGTTTGAAAGCAAACCTGTGAAAAGTCCAATTGTCTCAGGCAGCAAGGTTAACAAAGATGTTAACGGTATGCTTGTGGATGATATCAACTTTAAACAAATTGTGGGTAGCTTAATGTACCTAACGGCTACAAGACCAGAT